CAAGCCTGGTGGGTGTTAAATGTCCTATAAGCTAGAGCCACTCTTGAAGACTCACCAGACACCCTTGAGACCCAGACAGATACATGGAGAGGAGCAGATAGAGACACAGGGCCACACAGTTTGCTCGGCCTTCAGAGCTACCCATCAGTCATCAGGCCAGGCCTAAGCCTCTAGGTTGTGACCTCAGTGGTCTCACTCACTGTGGACACAGACCTGGACTCAGAGCTCTCTGAGGTCCAGACCTTCCATTCAGGCATGGGGGAGCCCAGCCATTCCTGGACTCTGAGGCTCCTCTGCCCCCTCTCCTGGGCGCCATGCCCTCTCACAGGGGCTTCAGGCCACACACTCTTGTCCTCTCCTTTTGGGCCCCTGGACCCTCCCTGGCTCAGGGTAAAGAGGGCCTGCCCTCATCCACCACTGCATTTAGAGCTGCCCCCAAAAGCCTCTAACATGGTGCCAGGCATGGGGCATCCTCACGAATCCTGGGTGACAGGGACACAAGTAGGCACCTGGCCTCTGCGTGCCCTGCACGCACATGAGCTGCCAAGCAAATTCCCCTCCCTTCATGGCTGTTGCCAGACAAGTCCCAGGACTGCCCAGCTAGGCATATCTGAGCACAGAAATCACTTCCAAAATTCTCAGACCCTCTGCATGTCTGTCATACCCCACATCCACCCAGCCATAGCCTGATTTCTCCAAAACCTTGGTGAGAGCAACCAAGAGATGCAACTCCTGTTTGCAGGAAGGAAAAGGACTGGAGTCAGCTTGACCCCAGCGGTGGCTCGGGCCACATCTCCAGAGGTTCAGCCAAGGGAAATTCTGTTTCCAGCTGTGGGCATAGCAAATGCTGCTGGCTGACTTCCTCTCCACCTGCAGTAGGAGGAGGAACAATTGTTTGACAAAACCTTTCCCAGTGGCCCCTATTCTGGTGGCTAAGTTTCTGACATGGCAGGCAAAAGATACAAATAACATGGCTTTTCAGATAGTAAAGTCCCTCAGGCCCCTCTGAGATTAGGTGCAGAAGGAGCCCAGAATTTAGAATGAGATAGATCTAAGGGCTCCAGATCTACCACTTATGAGCTGTCTTTGAGCCTCAGTTTCTTCCTCTGTGACATGGGAATGATAATTCCTACATTATTATTATTATTATTATTATTATTATTATTATTACTACTACTACTACTACATGTGATGTCACCACAGAGATAGAGAGAGGGTGACATGATGGAGAAAGCACACTTTGGGGTGAAAGGCAGCCTAAGTTCAAATTCTGGCTCCACCTTTTGCTGTTGTGTGACCCGGGATGACTCACTCCTCTGAGCTCAGCTGCAAAATGGGAATCCTGACAACTACCTCATCGACTGCAAGGTTTAAATGAGATGTGTGCCACTGAGGAGGTGCTCGGGAACATCAGCACCCTTCCACTGCTCCTGGCGAGAAGGGGCTGTCGGGAGGGCACACAAGGGTCCAGCATGGCAGTTGGGGATGGGATGATATGATCCTCCTCTTCCAATAGCCCCATCTCCACAGTCCTGCCCCCTCACTAACTACTCACTGACAGGGAGCTGAGCATGAAAGCCACTTCCCCTGCCCCAGCAAGTGACACTCTGCTGATGTGGGGCAACCCTGCAGGAGCGAGTGCCAGTCCTGTATGCCCAGGGATCTCTGGGTTCACAGCAGGGCCTCTGCCAGACACAGGAGAGAATCCAAGGGGCTTCTCTGCACGTTCAGAGAACACTTTGTGTGTAGAGCCAGCCAAAGCCCAAAAAGTTAATAGCCCACATAGCCATGTGGCCACAGCCTGTGACTGGCAGCCTCGGTGTTATTTAAGTCCAGTGTGGTTATTTCCTCATTTGGCTGATGGTTGCTGGACCACACATCTGTGGTGACACCCAGCAAAGAGAAGCTGTGCTCCTGTTCACTGGTTTAGACAAGGTTCTGACAGGGAACAGAATTTACCTCAGGGAGCTCCAATGAAGAGACTTTCAGAAGGAAATATTTACAGAGCTGTGAGCTTGGGTCAGAGCACAAATGGGACACTGAGGTGTGCAGAGACCAGCAAGAAGAGGAATCTGTGACAAGCCCGGAGCTGAAGGCACAGAGGAGGGAAAGGTGCTGCAGGAACCCAGTGAGGGACAGACCATGGGGGGCAGGGGGGCAGTCATGTCATTATAGGGAGATGCAGCAGCCAAGGAAATACGAACCAGAGAAGAAAGCAGCCAGACAAACATGCCCCCACTTCTGTCCACCCATGCTCAGAGCTCCTGCTGGAGCCCCATTGGCCAAACACCAGAAGCCAGGCCAGGAGGCCCAGGGGTCAGTCCCCCCGACACAGAGCAGAAGTCAGGGAAGGTGTGGGGGCAGTGCATCTGTCAGGGTGGGGACTTGAAATTCCTCCAACCAAATGGTTGGATGCTAAGGAACAAGAATGGTAAACTGACTACTCAGCACAACAAACCAGAGTGTCAGCAAGGATTCACACAAGTTTGGTTTCACTATTAGCTACTAGTTTTTGGCCACCTTGCAAATACTTTATAATGCAGGCCTGAAAACATCCCTGAGAGGCAGACACTGGTGTTCCCATTATACAGATGATGAAATTGAGGCTCAGAGAGGTGAAGTGTCTTGTGCACAGTCACACAGCAACAAAGCAGTATACCTGAGGGGTGGCATATCAGAGAGCCTGCGATCCTAGACATCACCCTGTGCTGTGTGAGCCCAAAGAGGAAAGATCCATGTGTGACTTTAGGATGGGCTGTGGGAGTGGGGAAGCCATAGATGGGCAAGACAGAATGACGTTCTCCAAGGAGAGGAAGCTGTGATCTGAGCCCTGCAGTGGGGTCTGGGCATCAACCCTTTGACCAGCCCCCAGCTGTGCTACAGTGGACAATGACCAGGGATGCACAGGGCTATGAGGCAGGGACAAGGGACATCTCCCCCAGGGGTGAGTGGTTAGGCTCCACTCTGAAGGCCAAGTTCACCAGAGAAAGCAGGAAAACCCAGGTGGCAGTCCTGGGCCACTTCTGTCCTCTAGCTGCCTGCTCTCCTTAGTGTTCCAGCCTCACAGCTTAAGCGCCACCCACACACAGCAGCCATATGCAAGTGGCTCCAGGCCTGCTTTTGGCCCAGGCCCCAGGCCAGGTCTCCAGGAGCTGCTGGCCATGGCCAAAGAGACATTTACTAGGCAACTCCATCCTGACAAAGGCCACACACAACTTGTGGGTTTCTCCCCACCAAACATGTCCCCACCCCAGGCTTCCAAATCTCAGTGCAGGCCCTGCTGTCCCCCAACTGCTCAGGCCAGACTGGAGAGGTATCTTAATTCTGCCTCAAAAACATGTACCATGGCTGTCCCCTCCTGGTGACCCCAATTTGGGCCACCAACTCTTTCCTGGCCAGGGACCACCTGCTCTTGGACCCTGCCAGTCTCCAGATCCCAGCTGGATACCTCTTCCAATCTGACTGCATCACTCTCCCTAGGCGGCCCTGCAGGGCCCCATGCAACCTGAACGCATTGGTTTCCTAGGGCAGCTACAATGAAGTACACACACGTGGGACCTGAGGCAACACCAGTTTGTTGACTGGATATTCGGTGGTTTTGGAGGTCAGAAATCAGAAATGGGTTTCAACGGGCTACAGTCCTTCTGAAGGCTCTAGCAGGAAGCCATTTCCTTGCCTTTTCTGACTTCTGCAGGCCACCCCCATTCCTTGGCCCATGGCCCTGCGTTGCTCCAACCTGTTTCCATCATCACATCTCCCTTTTCCTGATTCTCATTCTCTTGCCTTCATCTTCTACAGATACCGGGATTACACTGGGTCTCGCATGCTCCAGAATAACCTCCCATTGCAAGACCCTTAACTTAATCAGACCTGCTGAAGGTCCTGTTGCCATAGAAAGTAACGTATTCAGATGTTCCAGGGATTAGCAAGTGGGCATCTTTGTGGGATCATCATTCAGTCTACCACACTGACCTGGTCACGTCTTACTGAACCCACCCCGCAACTGCTCATTTCTCTCTAACCTGGTGGCCTTCTTTCAGTCTTCAAACACACTAACCATTTTTCCACCTCAGGACCCTTGCACTTGCTGGTACTTCTGCCTGGAATGTCCTCCTGTCCCCTGGCATTCCTAGGGCTGAAACTTAGATGCTGGTTTAAGTGTCGCCTCTCCAAGAAGCCGTCCCCAGCCTCTCAGTCTCAGCCAGCCGCCCCCTCACTCTTGGTTGCATCCCTCCTTGTAATTCCCTGAGCACTTGTGATGATTAGCTGATGTTTCTCCTCATTACTTATTTTCCTGGTGTCTCAACTACAGTATGTGCTCCCTGAGTACAGGCCCCATGTGCCTTGCCCAGTGCTGTACCCTGATGCCTGGCATGGAGCCTGGCATAGAGAAGGGGCTCAATGCCTATCTGCTCAGTGCTTGGACTCTCATTCTGTCCTGCCTCAAGTTCTGAGAACTCTCTCTCCTTGTTTCTCGATTTCACTTCTGTTGGTTTTACATTTTCATTTTTAAGTCACTTCTCACTTGAGGGAGGAAGGAAGACCCAAGACTCACAGTTCCTTTCTAGGCAAAGGAGGAAATGACGCAACAGGCCTGGGCCCAGTGAGGCTGGAGCAGGGATCAGGCGTGCGGCCTCCTAAGTCAGGATCAGCTTCCTGGCCAGGACTCCCACCTTCCTATGCCTTCGCTCACTGCCTTCCTCCTGCCTGGATTGACTGCCCTTGCCACACCCGGCCTCAGAGAGTCACTGCCTCCTCATGACCAAGGAAACTGCGACCCAGAGCCTCCCCCAGGCCCATGGCCCTTGCACTCTGGGGCCTGCTCCTCCACTCTGTACCACCAACCCAGGGTGCCCACTTCCTCCTGGGCCGGTGGCAGGGGCCAGAGGGTGGGGCCTTAGATGCTAAGCTCAGCAGACCCAGAGGCCAGGCTGGCTCAGCCCAGACACCCTTGGTGTGGACACTGAGGACAGCCTGGCGCCAGTGTCTCAGAGGAAATGCTACTAGAGTTTAGAGACCTCTTGTGACATGCGAGCCCAGCCTCTCCCTGGGGCAAGGGCTGGGCACAGCCAAGGATGAGGCCCTCCATCCAGCATCCAGTAGGTCCTTGTCGCTCTCCAGGCAGGAGCTCTGATTCCCACTCCCGCCCACCAGCACTTCTTCGCTTGCCATCCAGGGGCTACAGGTCAGTGACACAGGGACCCAGCATGGGTGGACTGATGGGGTCAGGGATGAGAGGGCAAGGTGATAGCCAAGGTCACAGCCTCCACCCAGCATGGGGCAGAGGGGAAAATCCCTCCTCCTGGAATTCAGGACGAGTAAGGCCCAGATCTCTAGGTGACCCTGAGGGCTGCCTTCAAGGGTGCGCAGCCGTGCAATCACACTTAAAAGACCCCTTGCTTGGTTTCATGTTCTTCTTTCTCTGCCTTGCAATTCTTCATAACCTTTAAGCAAAGAATCTCACATTTCCATTCTGCAATGGGCCCCACAGTGAAGCCAGGCCTAGGAACCCGGTCTGAATTCCCGCCCACACTCCGCCCCTGCCCTTGTGACAGCTCCCAAGCTGATCACCGATGTGAGTTCTGGGTCTGGTGAGGGCCTGACCTGCTGGGGTAAGTCATTCGGGTTTCCTAAGAGCCCTCTGAAGACAGCATCAAAGCTACGTTGCCACAGGGGCTCCAGGTGGGTTGGGGGTGGGGGGCATGTTTGTTCAGAGGAGCTCTAAATCCCACCCCATAGCAGCTGCTAGGACAAGAGAGAGCAACAGGAAAAGGCATGAACTCCTGAGCCAGGCAGACTTGATTCAAGACTGGCTCTGCTGCTTACAGTCTGGTGATCTCAGGAATGTCACTAAACCTCTCTGTTCCTCAATTTACCTGTAAAATGAGGATTACAGTTACAGCTACCTGAAGGGTATTGGAAGGATTAAATGAGGTAACACATGTGGCAGGCTTGGAGCAGAGTCAGGCATACAGTAAGTGCCTAATAAATGTTAACTGTTGATGCTAGACACCTGGCTTCCACTCCCAGCTCCCACCACTTCCCCAGCGCGAACCACCTCTCTGTGCCCCCGTTTTCTCGTGTATAAAATGAGGATAACCTGGGTGCCCCCTGCACAGGGCTTTGGGAGCTGACATCAGCATCAGCGTTACCCTCTCCTCCCGGAAACCTTCCCTATAGCCCTGCTCTGCACTCCCCTACCCGCCGTGACACTTTCGTAGGAAATGTTCCTGTGTCTGCCTTCTCCTCCCAGACTGGGAGCTCTTTGGGGGCAGGAACACAGTCTGCTTCTGCTGGCACAACAGAGAGTGAAGGATGAGGAGGGAACAGATAAGGTGGGGAGCCCAGCTGTCCCTGGGGAGCTGCTCACACCCTGCAGTGGTGACCCCCATGTCCTGAGCGTGGCTCCTCTCCTTCCCAGACCTGCCTTCCTGGGAAGATGCAGAGGCTCATGCTGCTGCTCACCGTGGTGGGCACCCCGCTGGCGGCGGCCACAACACACACAAACCCTGCCCGGCCGGATGCTCCCAGCATGCTGCCCGCCCACCGGCGCCAGAAGAGAGACTGGATTTGGAACCAGATGCACATTGATGAAGAGAAAAACACCTCACTGCCCCATTATGTGGGCAAGGTAAGGCTCAGGCCCCAGAGGAGAAGAGGCCTCAGCAGCAGGAGGCCCACGGTGACAGTGGCAAAGACGGCGACAGATGTGGTGGTGGTCATAGGGGTGGGGATGAAGGCTATCAGGTGAAGATGGCAGATGTGGTGGTGGCAATGATAATGATGGTAACAATGGTGGTGATGGTAACGCTGGTGATGGTTATGGTAAGGAGGAAGGTGGTGATGGCAGTGGAGGTGATAATGGTGAAAGTGGTGATGGTGATCATGATGGTGATGGTGGTCATGGTGGTGATGATGATCATGCTGGTGATGGTGGTGATCATGGTGGTGATGGTGATCATGGTGGTCATGGTGAAGATGGTGGTGATGATGATCATGGTGGTCATGGTGATGATGGTGGTGATGGTGGTCATGGGGGTGATGGTGGTGGTGGTGATCATGGTGGTGATGGTGGTGGTGGTGGTGGTGATGGTGATCGTGGTGGTGAAGCTGATAAGGGAGTTTCCGGTGGTGATTGTGATCACAGAGGTGATGATGGTGGTGGAGGTGATGGTGAATGCCAAAGTTCACTTTCTCCCAGACCTTGGCCTGTGGACTAAATATCTCTGTTGGATGGGCCACCCACTGCACAGACTGAGGAGGAGAGCCTGGCCTAGGGGTTCAGGGCTGAGGGTAAAAGTAGTCAAGGCTGCCATCAAGTTTTCCCATCTGAGGGGCCTGGAGGACCTGAGCAGCCTTCTACAACATGGTGCTCATGACGAAGTAGATTATTCAGGCCAGTTTACCAACCCTGGTTTAGGCTTTCAAACCTCCTCAAAAATAGCTCTCCACATTCTAGGACACCCATAGTAAGGTGCCTGACCCAACTGCACTTCCCCCCCTTTAAGACTTGTCCACATCCCAGACACCTTCCCAGAACTGGGAGCTAAGCGGTCAAGTACTGAACTGCCTTACTATTTCAAAGTACTTCTGATGTCAAAACCATCCATTCTGATCGAAAGGAATGACTCTAGTGGTGGAATTTCCCATATGATGACAAGTAGAAGGGCTATGTATTTTGAGAGTTTCCATTGAGGACAAACATTTCTTTTAGGCGCATAAAATCTCACTACGTCAGTTTCTTGGAATCTAAACATGGTCAGCTGAGGAAAGGAAAGACCCGTGTGCCAGTGAGTGGGAGTACGGGGCCAAGCACGGGCCTGGGTCCTGGGAAGACAGTGCTAGGAAAAGACAGACTCGGTCCCCACCTTTGTGGAGCCTGTGGTCTAAAGGAGGAGCTAGCAGAACCAACCCACCACCTGGCTTTATGAATAAGCTTTTATTGGAACAGAGCCATGCCCAAGCACTACCAACTGTCAGGGTAGCTCTCATGCTACAGTGGCAGTGCTGGGTGGTTGTGACAAAGATCATGACACACAAAAAATATTTACTATCTGGCCGTGTACAGAATCAGTTTGCCCACCCTAGTCTAGAGGGGACATCAGACATCTAGAGCATATATCAGACAAAGAACCCCACAACCTGCAGTGATGGGGGAGCCCTACAGTCATAGAGAAACAGGCTAGGAGGACCCTTTGACTGGGGAGGGTCCGTCTGGCCTCAGCACCAGAAATGCCACAACAGTGGAGTTGGGGCCAGCAGAAGAGGCTCTGCCCACAGCCAGCTGACTGCATTCCTGGGCTCCTCCGGCTCCTCTCAGAAATTTAAATCCTTCAGTATAGCTACTCAGAAGGGAAGATGCTTGCCTAGGGTCAGAGTGAAACCAGGCAGAGCCCTACAAGAATCTAGCCCTAGGAAAGCACAGGGTTCCTGATCTCCAATACAAATGTGAGCTCTGTGTCATAGAGGAAAATGTCAACCCACCTCCATCCTGCCCAGTGGGATAACTGTGCCATGAATCAGCAACTGAGGAGAGTGGCCAGCTCCAAGGAAAACTGCAGGGTGAGTCAGGGGGAGTCAGCATCACGCGCACGCCTAACGCAGCGGCCTTTGGAAGGCTCGCCCAAGGGTCTCTGAGCAGCAGGAAGTACGTCAGGCCTGCCGTCATCTGCCATCAGCATTTGCTTGGCATTTGACATGGGGAGGGGGACAGAGGACCCACATGCAACCCCCACCCTGGGAAGAAACAAGTGTGCCTGGGAGAGGGAAGGAAAAGACTGCAAAAGACTGCAAGGATCTTCTGGGTCCCAAAGATGTCGTCTGAGGCCAGGAAGGCCCTGTTTACGGCGGCCAGAGCCCGGAGCCTGTGTTTACAGACTGAGTGGACAATGGGAACAAATCCTGAGAGGCCCCCTGAATGGGAAGCCTGGCTTTTGGCACTAAGATGTTATATCCAAATATAGTGATAACTTTTTCAAAAGGCCTCCCAAAGGCCATAACCTCAGTCTAATCATGAGAAAAATAACAGACAAATCCTAGTAAAGGGGTACCCTATAAAATACCCAACCAGTCCTCTAAACTGTCAAGGCCATCAAAACTTTGGAAGTCTGAGACACTCTCACAACCAAGAGGAGCTTAAAGAAGGGTGATAACTAGCTGTAATGTGTCCTAGACAGGATCCTGAACAGTAAAAACTAGGGAAACCTACATGAAGCATGGACTTTAGCTAATAATACTGTATCCATATTGATCCATTAATTCTAACAAAGGCACCATGCTGATGTAAGATGGTAGTAACAGGGGAACCTGGGAGCAGGATGTATGAGAACTCGGTACTCCCTTCTCAATTTTTCCATAAATCTAAAACTCTTCTAAAAAATAAAACCTATGTAAGAAAAGCTGGAGGGAAGGAAAAAAGAAATGATACTCAAATGAAATCTTACGCAGAATTTCAATAAAATAGATCAAAACGGACTCAGTGACCACAGCTCACCCTGGCCATGTGGGTCGTGACGCACCCACCTAGAGCCCCATGTAGAACTACCACTTATCCCAGCCCTGAGCAACTCACACAGGGCTCCAGACTACCCTACTCCTCGAGGCCCCGCTGTTTCCCCCAGGCCACAGGTTGCGCGGCTAGGGCATCATTTCTTGCCTCCTGCCCCACTGTTCACTTTATGCCCTGGCCACAGGGCCTTGGGACTACCTCCTGAGCCCACGTGCTCCTGCACACCGCAGCCCTGCTCCTGGATGCTTTACCACCTCCAGCTGGGGCCCGGGAGCTCCACCTCTCTCCCTCCCTGCCCACCTATGGCCAGGGGTCCTCACTCCCTGTCTCCACTTCCTCACCTTACAGAGTCTTCTCCGCGCTCTGTCATCTGGCTTCCTACCCCACTACCCTCTAGGTGCTGCTCCCACCAAGGGTTCCAGGGGCTCTCTGCTGGTAGACGCCCAGGACACTTTCCAGACCTCATGGGATTTGACCACACCCTTCTTGATGCTCCCTCCTGTCTTGAGACCCACTCTTTCTTGGTTCTCCAGCACCCAAGGCTCTTGTTTCATCTGACCCTTCAATGCCGCCCTTCCTCAGAGTCTCAGCCCTGGGGCTTTAACCCAGGCCCTGAGAGCAAGAACAGGGTCTGGGTTACCTCTGTGCTCCCAGCGTGCTGCCTGGCACCTTGTAGGTCTCCAATTTACATTTTTTTAAATTGAACTGAACTATATATTTTTTAACATTCTAACCATCTATGAGAATACCAGTGTATGTGCACGAAATATGATTCCCTTATATTCCTAATAGTCTGTTTCTAAGTTCTGTAAATGAAAATGTTCAGCAAATGTAACCTAATATCCTTCAACACATGGATCTATCATGAACAATAACTAGCATTTATTGAGAGCCTGTGTAAGTTGCTTTACATACATTATTTTCCAATTCTTATTCCTTATGACACTAATAGCGTATTTTACAAAAAGAAAGGGCTCAGTGGTCAAATAAGTATGGGAATTCTGAGTTAAATAAAGCTCACTGGAGTTCTTTTCTGTAGAACTGTACACTGTAAATCTCCAAGAAGAGAACATTTTATGTACTATTCCAAAAATAATTTGACCAGGACCAGTGGTATGCTGCTAAATATTTGACAACTGGCTCTCCAAGGAAAAAGGTCCTGATTTGGAGCATCTGCTAATTTCCATGATGTAAATAATCTCACCATGTCTCTGTTTCAAGCCACCAATTTGATGTCACTGAAGAGAGAAGTGGGAAAAGATGTGCATTAATACAGCATTATTTCATTATTTCTATCATTCGACACAACAGATATAAATAACCTCAAGAGCACAGTAAAATGTAGGAAAATTATTAGAAAGAAATGATTTTGAGTGTTTACCTTTGTTTTTAACATGATTCATTTCATTTACGTTTATATAATTGAATTTTTAATAATGGCTGTGTTACCAACCGGCTCATAAGCATTCCTGAAAATTAAGTTGGCTCGGAAAAGCCAAGCCAGTCCAAGCCAGCTCCAGCACGTGGTGGACACTCATTTTTGTGTGGAGCAGCAAAAGAGACAAGTGTTTCCTGAAACTAACTTTCAAAAGTGCTGTTTTGCTCATTAGAGCAACTCAACATCAGAAGCAATATTATCGCCATTTTACAGATGAGGTCACCACGGCTCAGAGAGGTTTAGTGACTTCTAAGGGGCAAATGCCCACTTACCTTCCAATGGCACCAGGTATACTCTTTCACTCAAAAAATGTTTTGTTAGTATCTACTATGTTTCAAGCACTGTTCTAGGCAATATGGGGCAGTGTGCTAGGCAAGTCACATTAATGTGGCATTCACAGTGACCTAGCTAAAAATGACCATCAGAGATTCTTGTTAAAAATCAATGTCAAACTTAGGTTCCCTGGCCAGCACCACACACACACACACACACACACACTAATGGGAAGCCTGGCTTTTGGCACTAAGATGTTATATCCAAATATAGTGATAACTTTTTCAAAAGGCCTCCCAAAGGCCATAACCTCAGTCTAATCATGAGAAAAATAACAGACAAATCCTAGTAAAGGGGTACCCTATAAAATACCCAACCAGTCCTCTAAACTGTCAAGGCCATCAAAACTTTGGAAGTCTGAGACACTCTCACAACCAAGAGGAGCTTAAAGAAGGGTGATAACTAGCTGTAATGTGTCCTAGACAGGATCCTGAACAGTAAAAACTAGGGAAACCTACATGAAGCATGGACTTTAGCTAATAATACTGTATCCATATTGATCCATTAATTCTAACAAAGGCACCATGCTGATGTAAGATGGTAGTAACAGGGGAACCTGGGAGCAGGATGTATGAGAACTCGGTACTCCCTTCTCAATTTTTCCATAAATCTAAAACTCTTCTAAAAAATAAAACCTATGTAAGAAAAGCTGGAGGGAAGGAAAAAAGAAATGATACTCAAATGAAATCTTACGCAGAATTTCAATAAAATAGATCAAAACGGACTCAGTGACCACAGCTCACCCTGGCCATGTGGGTCGTGACGCACCCACCTAGAGCCCCATGTAGAACTACCACTTATCCCAGCCCTGAGCAACTCACACAGGGCTCCAGACTACCCTACTCCTCGAGGCCCCGCTGTTTCCCCCAGGCCACAGGTTGCGCGGCTAGGGCATCATTTCTTGCCTCCTGCCCCACTGTTCACTTTATGCCCTGGCCACAGGGCCTTGGGACTACCTCCTGAGCCCACGTGCTCCTGCACACCGCAGCCCTGCTCCTGGATGCTTTACCACCTCCAGCTGGGGCCCGGGAGCTCCACCTCTCTCCCTCCCTGCCCACCTATGGCCAGGGGTCCTCACTCCCTGTCTCCACTTCCTCACCTTACAGAGTCTTCTCCGCGCTCTGTCATCTGGCTTCCTACCCCACTACCCTCTAGGTGCTGCTCCCACCAAGGGTTCCAGGGGCTCTCTGCTGGTAGACGCCCAGGACACTTTCCAGACCTCATGGGATTTGACCACACCCTTCTTGATGCTCCCTCCTGTCTTGAGACCCACTCTTTCTTGGTTCTCCAGCACCCAAGGCTCTTGTTTCATCTGACCCTTCAATGCCGCCCTTCCTCAGAGTCTCAGCCCTGGGGCTTTAACCCAGGCCCTGAGAGCAAGAACAGGGTCTGGGTTACCTCTGTGCTCCCAGCGTGCTGCCTGGCACCTTGTAGGTCTCCAATTTACATTTTTTTAAATTGAACTGAACTATATATTTTTTAACATTCTAACCATCTATGAGAATACCAGTGTATGTGCACGAAATATGATTCCCTTATATTCCTAATAGTCTGTTTCTAAGTTCTGTAATTGAAAATGTTCAGCAAATGTAACCTAATATCCTTCAACACATGGATCTATCATGAACAATAACTAGCATTTATTGAGAGCCTGTGTAAGTTGCTTTACATACATTATTTTCCAATTCTTATTCCTTATGACACTAATAGCGTATTTTACAAAAAGAAAGGGCTCAGTGGTCAAATAAGTATGGGAATTCTGAGTTAAATAAAGCTCACTGGAGTTGTTTTCTGTAGAACTGTACACTGTAAATCTCCAAGAAGAGAACATTTTATGTACTATTCCAAAAATAATTTGACCAGGACCAGTGGTATGCTGCTAAATATTTGACAACTGGCTCTCCAAGGAAAAAGGTCCTGATTTGGAGCATCTGCTAATTTCCATGATGTAAATAATCTCACCATGTCTCTGTTTCAAGCCACCAATTTGATGTCACTGAAGAGAGAAGTGGGAAAAGATGTGCATTAATACAGCATTATTTCATTATTTCTATCATTCGACACAACAGATATAAATAACCTCAAGAGCACAGTAAAATGTAGGAAAATTATTAGAAAGAAATGATTTTGAGTGTTTACCTTTGTTTTTAACATGATTCATTTCATTTACGTTTATATAATTGAATTTTTAATAATGGCTGTGTTACCAACCGGCTCATAAGCATTCCTGAAAATTAAGTTGGCTCGGAAAAGCCAAGCCAGTCCAAGCCAGCTCCAGCACGTGGTGGACACTCATTTTTGTGTGGAGCAGCAAAAGAGACAAGTGTTTCCTGAAACTAACTTTCAAAAGTGCTGTTTTGCTCATTAGAGCAACTCAACATCAGAAGCAATATTATCGCCATTTTACAGATGAGGTCACCACGGCTCAGAGAGGTTTAGTGACTTCTAAGGGGCAAATGCCCACTTACCTTCCAATGGCACCAGGTATACTCTTTCACTCAAAAAATGTTTTGTTAGTATCTACTATGTTTCAAGCACTGTTCTAGGCAATATGGGGCAGTGTGCTAGGCAAGTCACATTAATGTGGCATTCACAGTGACCTAGCTAAAAATGACCATCAGAGATTCTTGTTAAAAATCAATGTCAAACTTAGGTTCCCTGGCCAGCACCACACACACACACACACACACACACACACGTGCACACAAACATGCACATGTGCACACAAGCACACACATGTATACAAACACACGCTTGCATGTGCACATACACACAGCCATCACTGCCCATTTCCAGCTCATGGACCTCTTCTTCCCTAGATTAAATCAAGTGTGAACCGCCAGAATGCCAAGTACCTGCTCAAAGGAGAGTCGGCCGGCAAGGTCTTCCGTGTCAATGCAGACACGGGGGACGTGTACGCCTTTGAGAGGCTGGACAGGGAGAAGACCTCCGAGTACCACCTCATTGCCCTTGTGGTGGACAAGGACACCGAGAAGGACCTGGAGTCTCCTTCCAGCTTTACCATAAAAGTACATGATGTGAATGACAACTGGCCTGTGTTCACACACCGGTTGTTCAATGCATCTGTGCCAGAGATGTCAGCTGTGGGTACGTATCCAATCTGTCCCTCTCCCTCTTTTCTCCCTCATCACCAGTTGGAAGATGTCTCTCCCCTCAGCAACTCTACTGCCTGGGATCAGGATTCAGGGAGTTCAGAGCAGGGATTATAATGCCCATATTACCATTTTATATGGCTTGAAAGAAACTCTGGTCCCTAAAGAGCAAGCTCTGATCCGGTCCCAGACCAAACCCTGACCCTAGCCCTAACCATAAGGGACACACACGTCTCCTTACTCTGGAGCAGACCCCACCCACTGCTCTGATGCTCAGGGCCGGCAGACCAAGAACATAGCCTTTGCGCATGAAGAGCGCCAGCTCTGCCATCCAGACAAGAGGCGTCATCTCCAGGGTCCCCCAGGCCTCCAGAAGTCACTACTTCTTCCTCAGTTCTACCCCCAACCTCCAGGAGGTGCCAAGAAACCACCCCTTAGTCCAGGGTCCCTGGCCAAGACCTTGGGGGGCCTTAACAGTTCTCCCTGTTAAAGACGGGAATCCTGGAGTTCAAGGGGAAAAGATGCATGATTCTCCACCCCTTTGGGGGCACCTTCCCATGTCCTTATTCTCAGCCTTCTAGGAAAGGGAGGCAGCAGCCCCTCCTCTCCTCTGATCTTCTCATGATCCCCCAAGCTAGCCACTCCCTCCTCATTTCCCCTATAAATAAAAAACACCTGGTCTTTTGCCCCCTTCAAGGGTGACAAGCTGGGCCTCCACCGCTACCAGTACTTTGTCCCCACACTGGCTCCTCAGGAAAAAAAGGCAGCCCTTTGTCCCTCAGGACCTGGGGAGGTGGGTTCCCGGAATAGCCTGCATCCCATCTGGGAATGAGGTAAGGGGGAATCAGCCACAGGCAGCAACCTCCAGATTCTCCCTCCACAGGGACCTCAGTCATGCGTGTGACAGCAGTGGACGCAGACGACCCCACTGTGGCAGACCATGCCTCCGTCATGTACCAAGTCCTGAAGGGAGAGGAATACTTCGCCATCGATAATTCTGGTCTGTATAACCAGCCCTCCCGGGCAGGCAGAAGCTTGGAGGGCAAGGGGGTGGGTACTCCAGGGGGAGTCCAGTCTGACAGATGTCACCCACCACTGAACCACACTGTCCTATGGAGATGGTCAGTACCACACACTCAGACAAGGTGGCTGCTGAGAGCAGAAGACAGCAGACAGATGCCCAAGATGTCCCAAGATGTTCAGGGAACAAAGTCAGGATCCAAACAGTGACAGAAGAGGTGGAAGAGAAGGCTGGATAGCAAGTCTGCATATGGGTTCAGACATACCTGTTTTCCAAACCCAGCTTTACTCCTCAGCCCCTCTGAAGACCTTAGGCAAATCAACTAACCTCTGCATGGTAGCTGTGACGCTCGAATTAGGTAATGTGTAGACAGCGCATGGCCCATCATAATTAACCGCTCAATATGACTTAAAAACTGTAAGGACTGGGTTTTGGAAGCAAGACAGAAGTCTAGCTGTTCAGGCCAAGGGCACACTGTCTTTCAGAGGATGGCAAATATACCACAGACACCCCCAAAATCTATAATGCACTAAGGCAGGCATCACTAATCCATCACAGCACTCGTTCCACTCTGAGCCTACATTTGCCCTCCTGCTCTTTGACAACACAGTGCTACAGTCAGCAAGGGCCAACACTGCGCCACACTGGGCGGCTTTCTTCTAGCAGTGTAGGGCACCGAGGTACAGATGGTAGACCAGTAGTTCTCAGTCCTGGCTGCACAGTGGAATCACCTGGCTTTTAACTCAGGTGTTTTCTGGGTAGGGTTCCCCAGGTAACATGGCTCCTGCTGGGACACTTTTTGCAGGACTCATTTTCACAAAAACCAAACACTTGGACCGAGAGACGCAGGCCAAGTACACGATCATGGTGGAAGCACGGGACGCCCAGGGCCTCCGGGGGTACTCAAGCACAGCCACTGTGTTGGTCACTCTGCAGGATGTCAACGACAACTTCCCTGCCTTCACCCAGAGTAAGCCCCTCCCCTAGGGCCCTGGGGTGGACAGGGTTGGGATACCCCAGATCTGGAGACCTGGGAGCTCTCAGGAAGAAATCAAATTCCTCTACCTCTCCCTGAGCCCCAGGGGGAACCCAAGGCCCAGGAATTCATTTTGGTGCAGGTAGGGGCCTTGCCCCCCATCCCTGAACACATTCCCAGGGCTGTCCAGCTGCCCCCTGCCACAGTGTCCTCACAGGCCAAAGGGAAATCACACTCCCTGCAGTGTGCCACCAGGACACCCAGAGTCCCACTTCCAGATAGGGGCAGTTCCACCCAGATCCCATGGACTCAAGAAAATCCAGGCCCCAGCTAGAAAATCCCCACGAGCTGGTGAGCAGCGGTATGGCAAAGCTCTGCATCCAGAGCCCAGCTGACCCCTGGCCCCTCCCACAGACGGATTCTCCACCACCACCCCCAAAAGACGTCCAAGAAAAGCTTTTTACATGCCCTGGTGGGGCTGGGAAGGAAAGTCAGATGGCTCATCTTGTACCCTCCAATGCTGAGGCACAATTCGGAGGCCCAGCCCAAAAACAGCTCAGTTTCTCTGAAGTAGCCCCAATGTATACAGCATAAGCTCCCTGAAAGCAAGACTTGTCTCTCTTATCAATAGTTAGGTCCCCTAGCAAAGTACCTGGCATACAGTAGGTGCTTAATAACTATTTATTGGCTAGAGGGATGGAAGAACAGAGCAGGACCTCTTTGCCTCAGGGTCCAAAATTCTAGGAATATTAATAATAATATTGTTATTATTATTATTAATTATTTGATCATGCCCATTTCCTGTATCAAAATGTGTTAAGATAGTATGAGGGACAATCACCTTTTCTATCTCACTAACCCAATGTCTTTTGGGGCATCCTATTTTCATCAGCCAAGTACACATTTGCTGTGCCCGAAGACATCCGTGTGGGCAGTCCCCTGGGCTCTCTGTTTGTTGAGGACGCAGACGAGCCCCAGAACCGGATGACCAAGTACAGCATCGTGCAGGGAGAGTACCGGGACACCTTCACCATCGAGACGGACCCCACCCGCAACGAGGGCATCATCAAGGCCATGAAGGTTTGTGAGCCTGCAGCAATGACATCAGATGTGGGGTTTGGGGCTCCTGGTATCCCCAGGACTCACCCAGGGGCTACTCCCAGGTCAGAGGCCACCAGAGGGTCATGTTCTTTGGTCAGCTCAGGGCTGGCCATTCACTGGTACAGATGGTGACCCTGAATCTGGGACAGGGAGCCAGGAGAGGAGGGTCATGCCTTAGGCTGGGCTACCCCGGAAGCAGAACTTGACGCAAGGGTTTGGGTGTAAACAGTTAATTTGGAAGGTGATCCCAGGAAGTTCCAGGACTAAAGACACACAAAATGAAGGCAGCTAGTCCTTAACGAGCAGGTTATCACTGTGGGCAGGTGGGGCCCAGTCCCACTGGGGACATCTAGGGTCACTGTGGAATATGCCTTGGAGATGCAGGAGCTGAGGCTGGGGGAGCTGGGGTGTCCTGGAGGCTTCACCTCCTGGCACCCCCTGGCCTACCAGGGGCACCAGCCAGTAGGGCTTTGGTGGTGTCACAGGTGCCTGTGGCAGAAAGCATCAGCATGTAAGGAAACAGCGCATGCGAGGGGATAGGTGTGGCCATTGGCAGTGGAAGTATCACTTCTCTGGGCCACAGGCCCCCCAGCTATAAAATGGGTGTCATCCCAATACCACTTTACAGGCTCACTGTGAGGCTCACAGACCACAAGTTTGGCTCAGAGCAGGTGTTCACCATGCTTTTCCCTCCTGCAGCCCCTGGACTATGAACGTATCCAGCAGTACAGCTTCACTATAGAGGCAACGGACCCCACCATCAACCTCCACTACCTGAGCAGCACCTCCCTCAGAAAAACTGCCCGAGTCATCATCAATGTCACAGATGTGGACGAGCCCCCCAACTTCCAACAGCCCTTCTACCACTTCCAGCTGTGGGAGAACCAGAAGAAACCTCTGATCGGCTCAGTGCTGGCCACGGACCCCGATGCCACTCGGCGGAGCATTGGGTAAACAGGTGGAGGGCATGAGGGTGGTGATGATCAGTGCAGTCCTGGCACTGAGGTTCTTATGCCTGCTGGACTGAGACCAGGCCTCAGGGGGGAAACTGGTTTCCTCCAGCATGCACGTAAGAAGTGGCAGAGGCAGGACTAGATGGCCAAGCAAGCTCTTCTGCTGAGCACCTGGCGGGGGGTTTCTCGTCCTGTCCAGGCACCCCTCCTAGCCTGCACATGGCCATCAGAGCTGCCTGTCATCTCTTCTACCTTGAAGGGGCTGTTCTCTGGACCATGGTCCCCACAACTCCCATCAAGGGAGATCTCAGTCAAGAGGGCAACCAACTAGAACAGGAAGCCCATTCACTCAATGTCTTATTAAATGTGTCTTCCCAAAACCACAAAAGGAAAAACTGTTCATTTCACATGGTCAAACAACACAAAGATCTGTAAAGAAAATGTCAGTAACCCCCACTCCCAGATGATTCATGTTCGTGGTGTGATGTGGTCCTACCACGCATTTCTTCATGAGCACACAAACATCCACATACATTTATGGTGGATTTGGTGTTTGTTTGTTTGGGGGTTATGATTGTTTTTTAAATTTTCTGGACCATGCCATGCCATTTCATCACTACTTCTGTCTCAGCTATACTCCTCTCCTCTACCCTCTGGGACAAAAATACAGTTCTAATTCATACTTTCTAGGGCCACACTTTGATAGTATGAATTTAATCCAACCTCATTTTATTCCAGAGGGATAGCCAATTGTGCCAGCATCATTTATTAAATAAATCACTGTTCCACCTTTGTTATATACTATGTTCCTGTACATAGCTGAATCTCTTTACAAATCCTCTATCCTATCTACTACTCTTCTGTGATGAAGCCATTCTCTTTTACTGTAGCAGCTTTCTTTAAAACTTAGTGTGCATAAGCCAAGTCCCTTCCTCACTGTTTTTTTTTTCATTTTATAAACTTTCATGTATTCTCAAACATTCATTATTTCATATGAACTATAAAATTCTTTCAGGTAGCTTTTTAAAAAACATTTTCATTCTAGTGAGAACTGGGTTGACCTGTCAATTTGTGTTGACATATCAAAGGGAGAGTTAATGTTGTATGTTATCAGGGCTTCTTATTAAAGTCAAAATATTTCTCTCCATTTTGGCCACATCTCATAAGTTTTGGGACTACTGTTTTCATGGCCATTCTAGTCTCAATACTCTGTAATGACATTTTTTATTTCTTTATTGATCCAAGTTTTAAGAGATTGATTTGATTTTTTTTCTTTTCATTTACAAGTGGTAGGGTATTTTTTATTTTTGCTTTAACTTATTCTGTAATATAATACAATTGTTATATGTGCCCATTTTTTCCCTAGAATATCTAAACTTTAGCTTTGTGCATTTTAATTTTTTTATTCAATTAATAAAGGTTTAGAACTATGTTGAAAGGTTTTTTTACATAGAGGTTTTTTTATGTTCACTATGACTTGGGATTTTTATCCCTATGAAATTACCCAACTTGTCCTGCTAAATATTTTGCCTTCAATTCCAAGATGCCTGATGTTTAGTTTGTTAGTCCTATTTTCACAGTATTCGTGTTTGCCTGATATAAATTTTCCAACCTTTACTTTTAACTTTTCTAGGTCATTTGGCATTTCTCTCTCAAAAATAGAATACAGTTGTTTTTGCCTTTTAATCTATACTGAGATGCTTTGTGTTTGACTTTTTACATCTTTCATCATAAATGTTTCATCTTACTCTTATCTTATTATACATTTCCCATTTTGCAAATTTAATGGCTTTTTCTTTTCCCCCATCTTTGCTATAGATCCCATTTTTTTCTTTTTTTCCCTCCTAGATACTGGATAGATGACATCGATTTTTACTTCTACCAGTGAGATTTACTTCTCTCTTTAAAATTAAAAATATTCCTGGACCTGTATTTTCTACTTAAAAATACTACACACACACCATTGCTTTCCTATATGATAAAGAAATCAACAGTATCATTTTAATTCCTTCCAAATCAGGTTTTTACTTTACATAGAGAGACTTCTTAGTTAGATGAAGTTTTCAAAAAAAATTTTTCAGGACCCATTTTTGTGATAAGCTTCCTGAGTTCTTGCATGTTTACAAATCTCTTAGTTCTTTTGTCTTTTTACATCAATAACACCAGATATGCTCATACAATCCTCAAATTATAGACACTTCCCTTCAAAACTACTATCAATGTGTTCTAGCATTTAACTCTGTGGGGATACCTGGGGTAAGTCTGATTTCTCTTTCTTTATAAAAATGAATTTTTTCTGTCTGTACTCTCCTCAGTTCCCTCATATAGCCTTGGAATCCAAAAGTGTATCAGGATGTACCTAAATATTGATCTCTTCTAAAAATTACGCCGATATCAATGACTTCTTTTAATCTGTAGACTTGGGTCCTTCCTCAGATTAGGAAACTTTTATTATTTATTTTGTTATTTCTTCTGTCCTATTTGCTCTGGAATTTTCCTCAATAGTAGCAAATACATATACTCATCTCTCTTCATCTCCATATATTTTTTTCTTGATTTCTGGAAGAACTTTTCTAATTTTGACTGAATTAATTTAATTTCCTTTCAATCACCTCTTATCCCTTCCAGCTCTAGTATTTCTTCCTGGCTCTTGCCAAACTGTCTTTTCATTAGTCACAAACACCAACCCCAGCCAAGGTGTAGTTGGCTATAGTGCCGCCTGCCTAAACTCTGAAAGTGCAGCTGATGGGATCCCAAGGAACGGCCTTCCGCCCAGCCATGGCAGCACTCCTAAAATCAAGGGGATTATGTCACTGCTCAGAAACCCTCGGGGGAGTAAAATGCAATGCTCAGCGCGGACAGAGGGGGCACAAGGGTCCATCCCAAAGGGCCCCATCTGTCATGCTGAGGAGTTTGGACTCGGCAAAGAACACTGGAAAGCTGTGAAACTCTCTCCCTTGGCAGATACTTCATCCGCAGAACAAGTGACAAGGGCCAGTTCTTCCGAATTACCAAGCAGGGGAACATTTACAATGAGAAAGAACTGGACAGAGAAATCTACCCCTGGTATAACTTGACAGTGGAGGCCAAAGAGCTGGATTCTAGTGGTGAGTGGCCCCCATCTGCCAGGGGACCCGGGCTTTTCTCCTCTCCCCCATTCTTTCAAAATTGGCAAAATCTCTCATTTCGGGTCTCTAGAGGTATCACAAGCTCCTCTTGAGGCACCACTTGGCTGGGATGCTATAGCTCCTCAATTGTCAAAGTGTGGCTGGACTAGCAGCATTCACATCCCGAGACCTTGTTAGAGGGCAGACTCGAGTCCCACACCTAGACTGAATAAGAACTCATGCACATCATGGTTTAAGGAGCACTATTATAAAACAGGCTGCCAGATGTCCCTGTGATGAGAATCACCTAAGGTGCCTTTTAAACACAGAGCTTCTCAGACCCCTCCCTGGAGGCTCTGGCCCGTGAGCCAGAAGTGGGGCCAAAGAATATGCATTGAACAAGTGCCACCTGGTTCTTAGTATTCTGTTTATTTGGACAAGGCTGTTAGGGGGCTGTTTATGTGCCAGTTAGGGGACTGAATTCAGTATCTGAAGCAGCTTCCAACTCCAAGATTGTTAGGTTCTCCAGCAATTAATGTAACTTTTGCTAGAAGGGAAGGCAAGCACTGGAGCTCTGCAGCCTTTACTTATGTGAGGAAATCACAACCACCCTCCGGGAGGATTAGTATTCCCACCTTGCCCAGGAGACCACCAGGGCCCAGACAGCAGTGACTTGATCAAGGCCCCCCTGGTGCGGCCCTGGAGGGCCCCTTCCTCCTGATTGGTGCTCCAGACTCCCACATCCCTGACATGGCAGCCAAGCCCCACCGCGATGGACTCCAGCGTGCTTCAGATCAGCCTTTTCCCTTTTTTCTCACGTCTAATCTCATTCATACAATTTTTAAACTTTAAAAGTAATTGTTTGTTCACTTTAAAATATGTGCAATACAGAAAAGGAGAAGATTATCTCCCATAATCCCATCCTACAGAAATAATTACTGTTAGTACTTTTTAGGGTACTTTCTCTGGTCTTTATTTCTATACATATTCTTATATATAATAGAGACTGTAGTATTTATATAAAAATCACATCTTCCATCTTTACTTAACTTTATTCCAGAATTATTTTCTCATCATACTGAAATGTCCCTTTTTAAATTAATTTTAATGTAATTTACATAGACATTGTAAAAGGCCACATATTTCATTCACTTAAAGTGGCTTAATTTGTTAACCCAATCTCACCTAAATTGTTTACCTTTTCAATAATTTTGTAATTAATATAATTTACTTAAATAAGTCCTATTTATTTAAATTAATTTAATTACTTAATTGAACATAATCACTTAATTGATCTAATTACTTAATTTAACTAATTTAATCAAAGCCTTTTTAAATTTATTTACATTGTTTACCTTTTTGGTTCTCACAAATAATTCTTTTGTCAACACCTTTGTGAATAAAGCTTGACCGCCTTCCTCTTCTACTCCTTTCATCCAGAACACCCTCCCTGGCTTCTCTCCCAGAGGTCCATAGCCTCTTACTGCAAAAAGGGCACCCCTCCACAACTCCCCTCCACACAGTCTACCCTGGGCCAGCAGGAGCTGAGCCCACTGTGGTCACAAGTCCTTTCCCCCTGCAGGAACCCCCACAGGCAAAGAATCCATTGTGCAGGTCTACATCGAAATTCTGGATGAAAATGACAATGCCCCGGAGTTTGCCCAACCCTATGAGCCCAAAGTATGCGAGAACGCTGCCCAGGGAAAGGTGAGTCTGGCTTAAATGGGAGGGGAGGCAGTGCCCACTGGAGGCAGGCCAAGTAGCATTATGCTGAGATTAATATAACCTGCACAATAGCCTTGAGGAAAGGTAAAACACTATCTGCACTTTACAGATGGGAAACTGAGGCTAAGAAAGAAATGTTGGGAGAATAGATTGACAGAGAGGGGTGGCACGAAGAGTGGCTTTGTGGAGACCATTTAGATTAGTGTTGCAGGTGAGAGGCAGCCATGGTCAGGTCTAACCCCAAAGTCTCCCTCACTGAACCCCAGGCCATCCCAACACCACCAATGACCATTCCCCATTTTCCACCCTCCAGCTGGTCGTGCAAATTTCAGCAATAGACAAGGATATAACGCCACGAGATGTGAAGTTCAAATTCTCTCTGAGCTCTGAGGACAGCAACTTCACCCTCAGGGATAATCATGGTACGCATCACAGCAGTCAGCCTGGCTCTTAGCAGGGGCTGGGGGCAGGGTTATTTGGAGTTCTGAAGCGCCAGGGTCAAGACCAAGTCACAATACTGGGGACAGACCCTCACTGGGGTTTTCAAGTTATGGATATTTTGTACAAGTACCACCACATACCCTATTGGTCTGTGGAATGGTCAGAGCTGCCCTGGATAAAATGCCAAGTCCACATTCCCTGTAAGATGCTCAGGTCAGAGAGGAATGCAGAACAGACAAGGGGTGCAGGCAGTCAGCTCAGTTCACGAACCAGCCAAGGGATTACTTCTCACACCCCATCTCTATGATCAGCACAAGTGCAAACTGCTTTATGACATGGAACTTTGAGGTCACTCCCAGAGTCAAAACTGAAAATGTGAAATCAGAAATGCCAAGGATACAGTGAACTTTGTTTTAGTTCATCTACAGTGACTGCTTACCACCAGGCGGGCCGGGACAGGATCTGGCCCACCCGTCACAGCCCAGAGAGTCCTGTGATGTCAGTAATGGCCAATCAGATGAGAATGTGCTTCTGAGAGTGATGATGCTAAGTTGACTGAATTCCAGCCAAAAGTAGACGGGTTTCCATGGCTTCAGCAGCTTCCTGAGGAAATAGAGAAAATTCCCATTGGGTCTAAATAGAGCAATCTTTCACCCAGCACAGGGTGGAATCCCTGCCTGTCCCTGACTGGCAGAACTGTGGTTAATGAGGATCACATATAGAGCCATTGCCACCTTTAGAACGTCAGGGAGCAGGGTCCCAAAGAGTGAGGGGCAGACCCAGGGGATGAGCCACAGACCCCATCCTCAAGGAGCCTCCTAGGGGACTGGAAAGGCAGCTGTGATGCACTGGCAGTCAGTGCTCAGCTGTCTTTAGTAGTAAATAATGTGGCAAAAATATCTGTTACCCCATCCCCCATGTCCACCTCGACTTCACCTCAGAGGGATCTGCAATGGGGTAGAAAGCTTAAGTGTGGCCCCAAAGACACCCCATGTGTAACCAGGAGACAACGCTGTTGGTCTCAGATTCACTGGTAGCATCAATGTCCTCCTGTAATGTTACATTAGTGAGAAATCTCTAATTCTCCCATAAAGTATCAGTGGCCATATCATCATTATTTTCAATTATAACAGACATGGTTACCTAATAATGAAATGCAGTTGGCTCTCATTTGAAATCTAAAAGATGACCTTTGCTTTGGCCAGCTTCCTGAGTGAGCCAGCCCTGAGTGGCTAGGCAAATTCTAGAGCAGGGAGTCACTGGACCCTCTGATCATCGCATCACAACCTCCCAGGAGCCTACAAAAAGGAAAATTATCTGGCCTCTGCCCAGAACCACACTGAATTAGAAATATGTAAAGGAAGGATGGGAGTATGGGGGAGAGGAAGAGGTGTGTCAGAAAAATCAGCATGCTTAAAAAGTTCCCTGGGGGATTCTTCTATACATGAAACCATTGATTGAAGCTGGGAGGGTAAAGCCAATATTTGGATCAAAGCACATTCCCAATTCCAGCCTCAATGACACATGTAATAATTCCCCCAGTACCCCAGGGAACATGTACATTGTTAATGCATTATCAGGGATGGTAAAAACAGCATTAGAAGTCAGACCAATGCTAAAAGATTTTTTTTAATTTCATTTTTCCTTGAATTGCTTGTCAAAGGTTAAAATAATATATTGATTAATTAAGCCAAAAGAGTCACCTGTTATTGGAATGGGGTTAGGGAATAAAAAGGGGTGGGGGCCAGGCATATCAGTTGCCCACAGAAACAGAAAGCACAGATTTTAATTTTGGGCAAGCTATTCTTTGAGGTTAGGTCAGAGCAGCTGCCAAAAACATCCCCTCTCTAGAGAAACAGACCGGAGCTCAAATGGCTGAAACATGAGGAAAGGGGATACAAAGGGCACAGTCAAGGAGGACTCCCTGAAGGAGGCAGGGCCACACCGTCAGTGTGGACAAGGGGAGAGGCACTCTGGGCAGCACAGCCTGATTCTGCTGCCTTGGTGTTTCCAGATAACACGGCCAACATCACAGTCAAGTATGGGCAATTTGACCGAGAGCGGGCCAAAGTTCACCACCTGCCTGTGCTCATCTCGGACAATGGGAGGCCGAGCCTCACAGGCACCAACACGCTGGCTGTGACTGTGTGCAAGTGCAACGAGCGTGGCGAGTTCACCTTCTGTGAAGAGGCGGCCCCCCAGGTGGGCATCAGCATCCAGGCACTGGTAGCCATCTTTCTCTGCATCCTCACCATCACAGGTCAGTGTCTGGGAGGTCGGGGAAGGGATACTGAGGGGACTGCATAGGAGGAGGAAGAGGTCAGGGATCCAGGTCCAACCCTGCCTCCATCCCACAGGTCAACTGTGGGCCAACAGCCCCACCCTGGGCCTCACCGTCCCTAGTGGGATACAGGGGCCAAGCTTCCTGGGTGCCAAAGGGAGGCAGTGGGCAAGGAAAGTGGGGCTCCGAGGAACCTCCCCTACCTTAAAATATTTTCTATAGGACATTCCCTCATTCAGCTTACATATTGTGAGCATTTACTATGTGCCAGCACTATTTTAGGCATTTATTGACATAAAACCTATTTTGAAAAAAAGAGGATCCAGTTGTTCTTTGAAAAGCAATGGAAAGTTAAAAAACTTCTACTTCGATTATCTCTAGGGGCTTTCTTTCCTTTTTTTAGGACTCCTCAAGCCTTGATCTCTTTTTTTTTCTTGTTTGAGCCTCAGAAATTTTCAGAGCATTTTAGGCCTTGCCTTCAAGTTTGGGTTCCCTGGGAGCCAGCCCCTGGGACAAAGTCTATTCGGCAGGTGCTCCCATGAAGCCCCAGAAGGAAGAGAGGAGAGTGAGGTAGGGAAGGGAGACAGCCAAGAAGGGCGCCTTGTCGTGCAAGTCACCCCTGTGGGTCACTGAAGGTTCCTGCCACTGGAGAGCAGGAAGTGGTATGGCCTTCACAACTGGTGCTGATGCACCAGCTCCCATCAGCTGATGGTTGAGGGCTCCTCCCAGACCCTGAGCTCTCCCATTTTACCCACCATGAGATGGGGCAGCGGCCAGGCCTCCAGAGGAAGCCCTCAGGTGCTTAGAGATCACCCTGTGCTCTGTGGTGACAAGACCCAGGGATACTGTGGGGTACCCACATTTTCTGCTCCAGGCGTTTCCTGCCAGTGGCTCCCCGAAGAGACCCCTGAGTGTGCTCCCCTCCTGGGACTTCTGCGGCAGGCAATCCAGACTCAGATTCTCCTTTTGATAATAATCAGTAATAATAATGATAATGACCTTGCCACCACGCACAGACTTACGCTTAACCTCATAACTACCTTACCAAACATAAACACAGCAGAGAAGTTATCATTTCCATTTTACAAGAAGAAAGCACACAGGCTTGGAGAGGGCATCCCGGCTTTTCTTATTATCTTAGTAATAGCTTAAGCAATTCAGATCTAGAAGGACAGAGCCTGGGGGGGTACCCTAAACCTAGTTTTAGGGGTTCTCTGCACCCCACGGTCCACCCTCCTCCTGGGCTGGAGACCGTCACGGTCACAGCCCTCGGAGCTGCGGGCGGGGTCAGCATCTACACCGCGGCCTGTGTGACTCTGGGCAAATCACACAGCCTGTCTGCGCGCAGCTCGCATGACGGGAAAATGGGGATACTACCACCTACCTTGAGTGAGGTAAGAATGTGCCCAATAGCGTGCTTGCGCATATACAGTAAGAGCTACTGCCACGGGCACCACCGCCGTGCAGTTCCCGCACCATAGCTCGCGGCGGGGCGCCGGCCGCAGGCCCTGTCTGACCAGCTCTGCTCGCCCGCAGTCATCACCCTGCTCATCTTCCTGAGGCGGCGGCTCCGGAAACAGGCCCGTGCCCACGGCAAGAGCGTGCCCGAGATCCACGAGCAGCTGGTCACCTATGACGAGGAGGGCGGCGGCGAGATGGACACCACCAGCTACGACGTGTCGGTGCTCAACTCCGTGCGCGGCGGCGCGGCCAAGCCCCCGCGGCTCCCGCCGGAAGCGCGGCCGGCCGTGTACGCGCATGTGCAGAAGCCGCCGCGGCAGGCGCACGGCGGACCCGGGGAGATGGCCGCCATGATCGAGGTGAAGAAGGACGAGGCGGACCACGACGGCGGCGGCCCGCCCTATGACACGCTGCGCATCTACGGCTACGAGGGCTCCGAGTCCATCGCCGAGTCCCTCAGCTCCCTGGGCACTGACTCGTCCGACTCGGACATCGACTACGACTTCCTCAATGACTGGGGGCCCAGGTTCAAGATGCTGGCCGAGCTGTACGGCTCAGACCCCCGGGAGGAGCTGGTGTATTAGGGGCCGCGGGCGTCTGGGCCTGGGGGACCCGAACCACTGCAGCTCAGGCCGGTCAGACACCAGGCACTGAGCCCTGGAATTGTAGCACTGCCACCCAAGCCCAGCAACCCTTCCTCACGGGTCCCAGGTCCCAGAGACCAACCTCCCACGACCTTGGGTAGCAAACTCCAGGTCACTGAAATGTCCAGGAACATGTATCAGTGGCGGCTGCCTCATAAACGCTGGAAAATTCTGGCTAATGTTCTCTCTAGGCTTGGACATCCAAAACCTTGAGGCCTAGGACCACGGGTCCAGCTGGAAGACTTTCTCTGGCTCCTCAAAAGAGCTTTTGTTCAGCTTGGGGAGGAGGGCTTCTGCTGAGGTCTCTACACCACCTGGTGAAGCTGATGAGGTCCAGGTGCACGTCTGCCTGGAGGCAAGGGGCTGGCTGGCATGCCCCTGGGGCAAGACTCTCTGCAGCCAGGCCCATGGGAGCCTGGGAAGGTCCATCACACCTGCCCTGCTTCAACTTCCTCACGCCCTCTGAAGTCTGAAATCCCCCACCACTCTCCAGCCTCTGCCCAGGCCTGTCAAGATTGAGGAAGGGACCCCTTGACAGCACCATATCTTGGGTCCTGAGGCGACTTCATGGGCCTGCCATGCTGATAACTGTGCTGTACTGAACACTGAAAACAACCAAAGTCAGGGAGATGGCTTGTTGAACTCTGAAGCAACTGTGAATCCATCCTGGAGGGACAGTGGAGACCAAATGTGACAGATCATAGGGTGAGGGCCATCTCCACACCCTCACCCTCCAGAGAGGGCCTAGAGTAGCTGTGACCCCAGTTTGAGACCCATCCTTACCCCTTCAGTTTTGCCAGGGAAGAGGGACAGATGCTCCTGGAGCAGAAGACCACTCCCCATCTCTGCCCGGTCTGGTCATTCATTTATGCCCTCTTTTCTCTCTTTATTTTCTCTCTCTCTTTCCATCTCCTAATCTCTTGACTTAGAGGCACTCAAGATGTGACTCTCACAGCAACTCTGGCTAAAGTCCAAACAGCTGACTGCACAACAGAGCTGTGCCTTTACACCTCATTATTGCCACATCTCAGGGAACCCCAGCAGGGCCCCATCCCTTGGGCACACCCTGCAAAAGACAAGACCCCTGCCCTGCCCAAGCATACCCCCAGCTGTCACCTGTGCATCTCCCACCTTCAGCCACAAATGGAAAGCTGCACTGCAGCACACCTTGGGGAAGTGATCACCCAACAGGAAGGGGCAGGGAAGGAGGAAACTCTCCAACTCACCCTTGGTCGTGGGCTGAGGTTCCCAAGTCTGGGCAAGGCCCTTCACACTTCAAGGGATTGTAGATAACACTATTTTTTAACCAATATCTAGTTTTTCATAATTTTTTTACTAATACCACTTACACATTTCTAGCTCTCACAAACATAGAATAAGGGTTTTTGCGTAGTAAGCAGGTTGCTATTTAGATTAACTTTTAATTCAGGTTTTTTAGTTGGATAAACAAATTCCTATAACCTTGTATTTCCTATCATTGTAGTAATTGCTCTACTGATAATGGCTATATACTGGCCACACTGGTGCATGAGATGTACTGTATTTTTTTTATACCTAAATAAAGACAAATTTTGAAATTCTTACATTTCTAAGAGCTGAGAGAGCTCATGTGAAACACACAACTACCACCACCAGAAGAAGAATCCAGGAAGCAAGAGGACATTGACATTTGCAGTCAGGATTTCAGACACACACAGAAAGGGATTGCCACAGAGAAAACAAGGGACTTGTAGTCCAATCCGTTCTCTTCCTAGAGCCCTACACCCTCACCCAGCCTCTAGGCATTACTCCAATCCCACCCTCATCCTATAAAGTAGCAAGGCCTCTGAAAGCTGAAGCTGTCACACCATCTCCATTTGGGAAATGAACCAGGCAGGTGAGATACATGTGGTGAGGGAGGAAATCAATCTCTAATTAGCCAGTGGACAACAATGATTGAGCAGCTGGTACTTTATTGGGGTGTGTGGACCCCAACACTGGGGTCCTGCTTAGAAAACCTCACAAAATAAAAAGAGGAAGCCTCCGTGTCAGACTCAGGTCTTGAATTGTCTTGAAGCTCACTTTAGCAAAGCCCCTGCTCCTTGACCCCTGACAGCAGGGTTTTCTAGGCAGTGTGTCCCCCAGGGATGATATTTTCAAATAATTTTGCTCTAATTTCTCTTGAGATTCTTTTTTAATCCAATGGCTATTTTGAGTGTATTGTTTAATTTCCATATATGTGTAAATTTTCTAAATTCCCTTGTTAATTTCTAATTTCATTACATTGTGGTCAGAAAACATAACTTTTATTATTTCAGTCCTTTTAAATTTATTGAGACTTGTTTACACTCTCACATATGTTTTATCCTGAGGAATGCTTCATGTGCTCTTGAGAGAAATGTGTATTCTGCTATTGGTAGTGAAGTATTCTATAGCTATCTGTTAGGTCTAGTTGGTTTATAGTGTTGTTCAAGTCTTTTATTTCTTCATTGATCTTCTGTCTAGTTAGTCTATCCATTATTGAAGTGGGGTGCTGAAATCTCCAACTAATATTGTTGAATTGTCTATTTCTCAGTTGAATTCTGACAGTTTTGGCTTCACGTTTGGGGTCTCTTGTTAGGGGCATATAATTTATAACTATTACATATTCAGGATGGATTGACACAGCATTATAAAATGCACCTCTTTGTATCTAGTAACAACTTTTAACTTAAAGTCTATTTTGTCTGAAATTAGTATAGTCACTCCAGCTCTCTTTTAGTTACCATTTACATGGTATATCCTTTTTCATCCTTTTACTTTCAATTATCTTGTGTCTTTTGGTATAAAGTGTATCTTCTGTGGACAAAATATAGTTGGATCATGGCAATTTATCCATCTTACCAGTCTCTGATTGGAGTGTTTAATCCTTTTATATTTGATGTAATTACCAATAAGGTAGGATTTATGCCTGCCGTTTTCCTATTTTCTGTCTTATGTCTTACAGTCTTATGTCTTTTTTGTTCCTGTGTTACCCCACTACTGCCTTCTGTTATGTTAGATATTTTCTAGTGTACCATTTTAATTCTCTTGTCATTTCTTTTACTGTATTTTTTAGTTGTTTTCCTAGTGGTTCCCCTGAGCATTAAATTCAAAATCTTAACTTACAACAATCTACTTTGAATTAATAACAAGTTAATTTAAATATTGTACAAATTTGTTCTTATGTAGCTCTACTCCTTCCCCTTCTTCGCACTATCATTGTTGTACATACTAAATTTTTATACATTGTATGCTCATCAACATACAATGTAGATTCATAATTATTGCTTTACGCAGTTGTCTCTTAGGAGAGAAAAGGGAATTACAAATATATACATATATATATGTATGTATGTATGTATACTTACGTTGTCTTTTATATCTACCTCCACAGTTACCTTTACTGCTGACCTTTATTTATTCATGTGGATTCAAATTACTGTCTAGTGTCTTTTCATTTCATCCTGAAGGACTCCCTTTAGTATTTTTTGTGGAAAAGGTCTGCTAGTGAGGAATTGTCTCCATTTTGTTTGTCTAGGAATGTCTTGATTTCTCTTTTATTTTTAAGGGATAGTTTAGCTAGATATATAATTCTTGGCTGGTAGGCTTTCTCTTTTAGCACTTTGAATGTCACCCCACTGCCTACTGACCTCCCTGGCTTCTGATGAGAAACTGGCTATTGATCTTATACATATATATTTTGTATGTAATAAATTGTATCTCTCTTGCTGTTTACAATATTCCCTTGGTCTTTAATTTTTGACAGTTTCATTATGAAGTATCTAAGATAAATTCTAAGACTTTATCTTACTTGAAGTTCATTGAACATCTTAGATGTGTCAATTAATATTTTTAACAAATTTGGAAGATTGTGGCCATTATTTCTTCAGGTATTCTTTCTACCTCTTTCTTTCCCTCCTCTCCTCTGGGACTCCCATTTTGAATAGACTAGTATGCTTGCTAATGTTTAGTAGCTATCTAAGGTTCTATTCATTTTCTTCATTCTTTATTCTCTCTGTTCCTCATACTAGATAGTCTCAATTGACCTATCTTAAAGTAGGTCGATCCTTTCTTTAGCTAACTCACATCTGCTCTTGAGCTCTTCTAGTGAATTTGTCACCTCACTTATTATACTTTCAACTCCAGAATTCTATTTGGTTCTTTTTTTATAATTTCTACCTCTTTATTGATAGTTTCTTTTTGGTGAGACATCATCCTCACACTTTTCTTTAGTTCTTCAGACACAGCACCCTTTAGTTCTTTGAATATAGTTTAAACAACTGGTTTAAAGTCTTTGTCTAGTAAGTCCAACACCTGGGTACCTTCAGGGATGGTTTATATTGAGTGCTTTCTTTCCTGTAAATGAGCTATACTTTTGTGTTTCCTTGCATGCCTCATAACTTTGGTAAAACAATGGATATTTTAAATAATATAATGTGGCAAGAGTGGAAACCAGACCCTTGCCCCCCAGGTTCTTGTTGCTGTTGCAGTTTATTTAGTAGCTTTCCTAAACTAATGCTGTAAAGTTTGCAGTCTTTGTTGCGTGTGGCCACTGAAGTCTGTGCTTGATAGTGGTCAGCTAATGACTGTACAGAGATCCCCTTAAATGCCTGGAACCAGAAGTCTCTCAGCATTTGCTGAGGTGCTCTGTGTGTATGTTGGGGAACTCCTTCGATGCTCAGGCAGGCAGTTTACAACTCAGCCTTAGCCTTCACCTTCTGATGGCACAGAGCCTCGAAGTCAGTGGAGATGAGAGCTTAGGGGCTTCTCAGGTCTTTCCTAGGTGTGTGCACAGTCCCACATGTGTGAGTGGCCTTTTAGATTTCCAGGAATATGCCAAAGGTTTTCAAAGCCCTCTGTAGACAGCTCATTCCCCAACTTTTCCTTTTAAGATTTTTGGTCAGTCCCTTGTTTGTCCCAGCTGTTATCACTGCCTCCAGCAGCTACAATGTTAAATGGTTGCCACTATTTTCAGTAAATACCCTCAGAAAATAAGGCTGTTTGCACTGAGCAAGTTTCAAGTCAGGTCAGATACAACCTTGCAAGTGAGATCTTCTAGGAAACCACCAGACAGGTCAAATAATGACAGTCACCTGGGGACTCATCTTCAGAGGAGCTCCAGCCCTGTCCTGTTCTTTCCAATGGCTCCGAGGCTTCTGGGTTTCACGGTGATTGTGGGGGTATTCAGTTTCAAGGCTACCGCAGGACTAAAGGGAAGAGGATGGGACTAGGGTAAGTCAAAACAACACAAACTTTACCATGATTTAGCTATTTTTCTTGAATAAACATTCCCGGAATTGTTGCAAACCTTTAGTCAATAGTTCTGAAAAAAATTATTTTGTCAATATTTTCCAATGTTCTCTTTGCTTTTATAGAAGAGGGATTGCCTTATTCTGCCATTCCTACTGATGTTGCCCCCACAGGCTGGTTTTTGAGCTCTGTTGTCCTACCTGTCTGAAGTACTTGCCCCCTGAACTCACAGTTATCCAACATCTGAAGTCCCTAAGATCTGTCCACTACCTTCTCCTCCAAGAAGCCTCCCAGACCTCAAGTCACCTCCAGATCAGCCACTCCCTCTCCCTACAACCCTCCCATGGGGCCTGGTTCTGAGCTCCTGGCCACCCTGGCCACCTCCTCTCTTTGGCTCCTGTTTACCCTGAGGTGGGAAAAGTGATCTTCGTGAAGACAGGAGGCTTACCTCTGAATTTGGAGCCTTTAGTGGACACCACAGCAGGATACAAACCCAGTGCTCCCTGGAATCTGTGAGCCACACTACGTATACCTGTTCCAGCCAACCGTGGGCCTTGAGCCAGGCCAGTGGTCAGGAGGCAGAGATTCAGAGACTTCCCCTTCCCCAAGGTCAACCTATGAGTCTGGTGTGACCCTCCTCATTTTACAGATACTAAAGTGAGATTCAGAAAGGGTATGATGTGGCCAAAGCAACACAGCAAGTTAGAAACAGAATTCGGGCTAGAATCCACCTCCCAGCTCCCAGGAAAATGTGGGTCTGCTTGGGACTTTCCCACGCCTGGGGACTGAAGGCCAGACCAGGATGCACCATCCACACCCTTTGTGCTGGTCATGAGCAAAATCACCACTAGGGGGTGCGCAGCATCAACAAATGCTCAGCCCTCACCAGCAACTGCAGGGCTGTGCACCCAAGCTCTGAGAATCCTGAACCTTGGCAGAGAACCTGGATTGGAGAAGCCGAGGAATGTGTCCCTGCCTCGCCCCCTGCTCTGCCCCACTTTCACCAAACCAATCCTGCAGCACTGACTCCGGGCCATCAATTGGCTGTCCCTAAGCACCCTGATTCCAGGCACCTACTAGGTCAAGAATCCTTACAATAAATCCTACTGCCCTTAAAGCAACAGATTAAGCCTCTGATCCTCACAACCAAAATCCCAGACCACCCAGAAACCCCCCTTCTAAACACTAGCCTTAGAGCACAGGGTGACCTGCCACAATATTAATTTCCAGTTGTACAGAAAGCAAATATTGGAAATCATAGAAATGTCCAACAATAAGAGAGTGGTTAAGTAAATTATGGCAGATACATAAAACAATACTGGGCAGCCATTAAAAGTCAAGTGACATGGTGATCTTGAACTAAATGAAAGGTCAAATCAAACAGCAGACCCTACTGTATTATTTACAGTCAGATCCAATTTTTTTACTAGATATTCATCTCCAAGTTTTGGAACTATGAATCACTTTTCTTTTCTTCCTAATTCTGTGTTTTCCAAATGTTCTGTAATCAGCATGCATGTTTCTTATCAGAAAAGGTGTTATTTTAATGTCAATCTATAAACAATTTCTTCTAATTGAAAAACACTGAATTTGGTAAGCAAAGTTTGTCTCAAGTACCTTTTTAACATTGAAAGTTTTCATTTTAAAAGAAAAGTTTGAGTTTACTATTTATTGATGCAAGAGATAATTTTTTAAATTAACTAATTGCTTTTGAAATCATTACTTTTGAACCCAGGAAAACTGTTGTTGGAGAACTGATTCACTTAATTGGGTTCTTTAATTTTTTTATTTTAATTTTTGAAAGCATTTCTTTGAACTTGGTCATGTGGGCTTTGTACCTCCTAACCTTTGCGGTCCTTAAATCTCAAATTTCCAGCTGCTTTCTGTATCAGAACAATGCAAAACACAGGAAGAAAAAAACCTGGCTTTCCCATCAGGTGACCCCCACAGTATTCTACAATGCATAGAAATTCCCTACATTACTTTGTCAAAAACTAAGAGAAACAGCTGGGACCAATTTCCCACAGCCCATCCAGGCCATCTGGGAAAGCTGAGTGAGCACCAACACAGGACTTCACAATGTGCTTTTGTAGCCTAGGGTGTATGTAGTACAGTTAGTTAACCTATGATACTCCTGAGCAATGGTTGCTGGAGGGATGTTTAACGATGTTACACAGGAAACTGTGCAAGAGGGATTTGTTTTCATATGGGACTCTGAGAAGGAAGTGAATCTTCACATCAAAGGAAGAAGACAAAGCTCTACCTTTTAGTTCAGGAAACCAGAGAAAGCTTTTCCTAGCTGAGCAGAGAGAGACCTATAGGCATAGGGCACTCTACAGGAAACAGAAAAGCCTGCTCTTGAAAGCAGCTGACATTTTGCAGAGCATCAGGAGAGTGAAAAGTGATAGGGGGCCTTTCTTTTAAATTTAAACCAACTGTAGCATAGACATACATTGAAATACAATTGAATAATAAAAACGAAGGAAACACCGACACGTGCAACAAATTGCATGAATCTCAAATGTGTTATGCTAAGCGAAAGAAGGTAGACACAAAAGACTACATTTGTATGATTCCATTTATACAACATTCTGCAAAAGGCAAAACTGTAGCAGCAGAGAACAGATCAGGGTTTCCCAGGAAAGGATTTGACTAACAAAGAGAGGAATGGGGGAAACTTTTGGAGTAATGGAACTGTTCCACATCTTGTATGTAGTAGTGGTCACACAAGTCTATGCATTCATCCAGATCATATAACTGTACTCCAAAAACAGGAAAGGTTACTGTGTGCAAATTAAAAGGAAATTTTTTTAAATCATCAGCTTTTTAAATGGAGAGATATTTGATCAGGGTCTGATTTATTTATCAGTCACTTAATTGGCGCACAAGGTCCAAGGGCATCTGCTTATTTACTTGTTCATTCTCTCTTTCTAAAATATCTGTTCAATGCACCAAATTCCCCTGATTCTATTCCTGACATCTCTTGAAGACCTCTCCTTCTCTAAACTCTTCCCAGCCTTAGTTGGGGCCCTCTTCATTCTCTCTATCATATTCTCCAAATTTAACAATTGCTCTTCGTATCTCTAGCCTTGACACCTGACAGGCATTCTGCTGCCACTGAAATGGTTTTTTCTACAATGCAAATAAAATCTTGTACTCCCTTGCTTAAAACTCCTCAACCAAATTTTCAAACCCTCCATGGCTCTCTACTTTCAGATGATAGAGCCCAAACTTGAACCTGTTACCCAAGGCCTTGCTTGATCTGGCTCCTTCTGAACATTTTAATCTCTTTATTGTCATATATGCCCTGATGCCACACATTCTTGTCATATTAAGCTTTGAACCTTTCCTCATACATACAGTAGGGTGCCTTATTGGTCAAAATATACACTGCCCTGCTCTGTGGGAGGATTACACATCTCTAACCCACTGATGTCAAACCTGGCCAGGTAACTTACATTTTCAAATAACATGTGAATGGAAGTGACACTTGCCACTTCAGAGCAGATATTTCAAGAACCAGTTCCTGTTTCCACCTGTTCTCTTCACTCTCCCACTAGCAGTGAACTCATAAGTGAAAAATAAACCTGCATTGCTATAAGCCACTGATATTTGAGGGGTGTCACCATAGCATAACTTAGCCTCAGCTGACCAAAACACTCCATTAGATTTTAAACTCCATACTTACTCATTTTGCAATCTCTGTGCATGGTGGGCATTTAATATATATTTGTTGAATGAATAAGTATACAGGTGATCAGGTGATCCTTGAACAATGAGGGGGTCAGGGGCTAAGAAGCCCTGTGAAGTCAAAAACCCACATATAACTTCTGACTCCCCCAAAACTTAACTACTAATAGACTCCTGTTGGCTAGTCTATGTTACTGATAACATAAACAGTTGATGAACACATATTTTGTATGTTATATATATTACATACAGCACTTTTACAATAAAGTAAGCTAAAGAAAAGAAAATGTCTTTTCAAATTGTCACAAAACCAAAAATTTTTGTAATGTATTTATTGAAAAAAATTTGTGCACAAGTATACCCACACAGTACAAACCCATGATGTTCAAGAGTCAAGTGTAATAAGAAAAGGAATGAACACATAACCTCTGGACCTTTGCACATGCTATTCTCTCTGTAAAGAGTGATGATCTCTGCTTCTTCACCTGCCCAATTGCTCAAATCAAACCTCAGAGATATCCTCCTCCAAGAAGCCCTCCTTGTCCATCCCCTTCCTCCTCCCTAAGGCATCTGTGTATATTTCTGCTTTCATAATTTTCAGTCTCCATGCTCTGACTATGATATCTGTAGACAGAGCCAGGTCTGCCTCACCTGAGTGGCCCTTTGGCCAGGCACAGCCTGGCCTAGAGCAAATAGGTGGGGATGAATGAAATAAACATGTAGACAGTTTTCCAGTCCTTCAGGTAACCACAGGCTTTCTCTACTCCAGCCCTTTGCACATGCTGTTCCCCTACCTGGAGCACCAGTACCTTCCCTATTTGTTAATATAACTTTCAAATCGTTTAACATCACCTACCCCATCCACTGCACATCCCTGTCACAATTAAGTCACTTCCTCTCCCTTGTTATCGCAAACTTACTGCATCCCTTCAACAGAGCCTTTATCACATGGCACTGAGATCTTCTGTGGTCTTTCTCTCTATGCATACTGTGAGAGCAGGGCCTGAGTCTGATTCACTCCTATGTCTCCATACCTAGGACTTCATAATAATTACAGCAATAACAAAATAATAACCAACCAGAATTTACTCTGGTCAAATAAATGGATATATGGATATGTGAGTGAATGAATTAATTCCTGTGAGTGGGTTCCCTCAGAAAGCCATCTCACCACTGGAGGATGATTCTCTGAATGTGATGAGGCCTGAGCTGCTTTGCACTTTACTACCCCAGTTGACTCCTCTCCCAGGTCACATGGACTACATGACCCCACTGGCAAGTGAAGAGGGGTTGTAAGGATGAGTGCACTATCCCACTTCCCAAATCCAACTGGGAAGAGGTGAACCAGAGTGCATGACTCCAGGGAAGTGTGC